AATTTTTTTATGATAGCAACTTATGATCTAATCTGAGATCTATTAGAGTTTCAAGTGGTAATTTCGAAGATTTTCAATTCTTTTAACCGTTTTTTACGGCTGTTCCGACCATATTTTCCGGTGATGTTTATGTCCTTTTCAGGTTAGATATGAAATTACTTAGAAAACATTAATCAACTTTCCGGTCAAGTATTTTTGCGGTTGTTCTGGCGAAGTTTTCCGGTGGTGGTTTGTACTTAATCGGCGTAGATTTTTAGTGAGATTTTGATCAATTACGTGATTGCTTCTATAATATTGATGAGTAGTGGAAACATAGCAATCTCCAGGTACATCACATGCTATTTTATTTGTTTATTTGCTTGAGTTTCTCTTATTTAAATATTTTTATATTATAAGTAATATATGTTATAATAACTCCACTATTATAAAGTGGTTAAGTAGATTAATCGCAAGATAGAAGTTTAGATATGAGATTTGGTGCATATTTGAATTAACTACTCACATATTTTACAACAAATCTTTGATTATTTGTTTAATAATTTTGATAAAGTATATCAAAATATTATCTTGAAATTTGACTTTGTATTTAATGGATCGAAAAAAAAATTGTTTTATATGTTTTGTATTTAAGTGTGAATGGTGTATAGATCGATGTATTTAACTGTGAATTTATGTTATGAATTGCGAATATTGTTTTAAGTTGTGATTTTAAATTGTGAATATTACTTTAACTTGAGATTTTTTATTGCAAAATTAATTGTAAATTTAGATAGAATGGAGGCGATAGATAATTTAGATAAAACATATGAAATGTTATCTTGAAATTCGACTTGATACAACTCGAAATGTGTTCGTTAAAATGATTGAAAAAAATGTTTTATATGTTTTGATATTTAACTATGAATGATGTATTGGTCGTTGTATTAAACTGTGAATATTTGTTTTAAACTGTGAATGTTGTTTTAAGCTGTGATTTTAAACTTTGAATATTGTTTTAATTTGTGATTTTATTTATAAATTAATTATGAACTTAGATAGAATGAAGAGCATGAGATATTTTAGATAAAATATAAAATAATGTATTTTGAAATTCGATTTTGATACAACTCACAAGGCGTTTGATAAAATTATTAAAAAAAATAATGTTTTATATGTTTTGTATTTAATTGTGAATCATGTAAGGATCGTTGTATTAAACCGTTCATATGTGTTTTAAACTGTGAATATTGTTTTAAGTTGTGATTTTAGTATGTGAATATTATTTGAACTTTTTTTTTTTTGCAAAATCAATTGCAAACTTAGATATAACATGTAGTAAGAGTCTAATGGATAATTTTAGATAAAACACATAGAAATGCCATCTTGAAATTCAACTTTGATACAACACACAAAGCGTCTATTAAAATTATTGAAAAAATAATGTTTAATTTATTTTTTTTGTATTTAAATGTGAATTGTGTATGGATCGTTGTATTAAATTGTAAATGAGAGTTTTAAACTGTGAATATTGTTTTAACTTGTGATTTTAAAAGGTGAATATTATTTTAACTTGTGATTTATTTTTGTAAAGTCAATTGTAAACGTATAAAGAATGTGCAGTAAGAGTCTAAGAGATAGTTTTGGATAAAGCACATGGAAATGTCATCTTGAAATTCGACTTTGATACAACTTACAAGGCGTTCATTAAAATAGTTGGCAGTGTTGATGTTTGTGGTGGTTGTAGAGTGATGATATGTTCTATTTCTCACTCATCTTCTTCAGTGAATTTATATAAGTTATCATCTTTTATGATTTATGTATATGTTTTTCTTTTGATGTTTGGTTCTCAAATATGGAATAATATATGTATGTATTAAACTGTGAATTAACTATTTTATACATTAAAATATGTGATTATACTTGTAAATGAGTTATGAATGTATTGTATTAAATTGTGAATTTTGTGTATTTAGTTGTAAATTTTAATCTCAACTTAATGTAATAAATTCACAATTTAATACATAGAAATGCATCTAGATATGAACGTATAAATGTAAGTTTTAAGTTGAGAAAATAGATATGAATATATAATTTTATGTATTAAACTGTGTATCTATTGTATTACGATGTGAATTTTGTGTATAAACTGTGAGTTAACTGTATTAAACTGTAAGGTTTTTTTTTTTTTTTTTTTTTTTTTTTTTTTTTTTTTTTTTTTTTTTTAATGGATTTTGAGCTTGCTTCTAAAATATGAGAAGAAGTAATCATTATACACATATAAGATTTTTTCTAATTTAAATATATATATATAAACTTAAAATTATGAAAATTGTGTAAATTAAATTTTAAAAGAAGCACTAGCCTCCACATATGAATATATAAATGTAAGTTTCAAGTTAAAAATATAAAATTTCATTGTATCAAATTGTTAATTTATTATATTAAGTTATGAATTTTATGTGTTAAATAGTAATTACTTATATTAAGTTGTGAATCGACTGTATTTTGCTGTGATTTTTTTATATAAATTTTGTGTTAAATTATAATTGATTTATGTATGATTTTTTGTATTAATGTTATTGTGAATATATTTTTTTGTATAAGTTTGTAAAAATGCATTAGTTTTTTATAATTGTTTTTATTAAATTAAAAAAAATGAGTGAATTAATAAGTTTATTAAACTATGAATGTAGTTTTTAACCTCTCATTGCAAGGCTTCATATACAAATCTAATTTGCAATGAATGATGGTTCCGATGCTAGCACATATGGTTGTGGCGGCGAGTGGTGGTGGTAGAGTTTGGGGTTGACTTCTTTAAATGTTGGAATTAGTGTAAAATTGATTGTATTAAGCTGTGAATTTTATTTATTAAACTATAAATGAACTGTACAATATTTTATTTTATATAAAGTTTACGTTAAAATATCAAATGAATTTATGAATACAAATATTAGACTAAAGATTATGATTTTGCCATTTTTTTTACAAAAAAGATAGAAATTAGGATTTTAGCATATTTATTAATATTGACAATACATATTTACTTATGAAATAGGGGTTCTTAATATTTTGTGGTTCTCATTTGAACCACTCTCTCTCTCTCTCTCTCTCTCTCTATATATATATATATATATATATATATATATATATATATATATATATATATATATATTACCCCTGTTTAGCAAGGGGTGTAATCTATAAACTTTTTATTAGGTAGATGTAATTTTTAAATTTTTTTTAAACATATGCACCATATTTAAAACAACACAATATATAGACATTTTATATAAATTAGAGGGGCAATTTAAAATTTATTTTCTATATATCGACCAAACCTAACACCATATGAAAGTCTTATGGCCAATGTCTAAAATTCAAAGAGTATATTGTAATTTTTTAAAACATGTAGATCATTTCTATTTAAAAAAATTATACACATGAACCTAAATTTAAGAATAGCTTTTTATAATTTTGTTTTCTATACATGGACCAATTCCATCGATATAGAAATGACAAAAGTTTGAAACCTAAAAACTATGATATTCCTAAACTAACTTTTATATATATATATATATATATATATATATATATATATATATATATATATATATATATATATATATATATATATATATATATATATATATATATATATAGAGGTTTAGGTTCTATGGAAAACAAAAAACCTTAAAAAAAACCCTAAAAATCATAAAAATGCATAAAAAATACTTAGAGATCACAAGACTTTTTTTTGAATTTTTTTTTTTTTATAAAAAAGCGCAGCTTTTTATAAAAATTCGCTGAATATATATATATATATATATATATATATATATATATATATATATATATATATTTGTAAAAAAAAAAGTTTTTTTTTTTTCAAATTTTTTTAAGCGATTTTCTTTAAAAATCTGCGATTTTTTCTTAAAAAATGTCAAAAAAAGTTTTGTGATCTCTAGGTATTTTTTTATGCATTTTTATGATTTTTAGGGTTTTTTTGTTTTCCAAATAACCTTTCCTTATATATATATATATATATATATATATATATATATATATATATATATATATATAAAATAGGGTAAAGTGAATATACGTAACAACCTTATATAAGCTTATGTACCTAACCTCATCAAACTACATCCTTTCATTTGTATCGCTAGGATATGAAGCCCATCAGGTGGTATTCGATACAAAGACGTGATGTAAACGAAAGATATTGGTGAAAGTCCAAAGATTTTGGAAGTAATCACATTATGGGGTTGAAATTTAAGAACCATAGGCAATTACATTGTAAATATGATACAAACCGATGTAGTATTATGAAGTTAGGTACATAAGCTTATATAAGGTTGTTAGGTATATTCACTTTACCCTATATAATATTATCATTAAATCCGGTTATTATGGTAAGAATATAAATTGTTGATGGACCGATTTATAGAATATTTACTTACATTGTGAGTTGAGTTATCGGTTTGACTCAACATCCTCAAGATCCCTTCTATCTCTCACATTATAGTTTATCTTCATCTATAAATACATGTGATGAGGAGCAAATCAAAACACACAAAATTACATAAACAAATTCGTGAGATCAACTGGAAAACTCATCATCATCTTTAGATCCGAAAATCATAATGAATCAGATATGTAATCATTCTTTCAGTTTTAAAGTTTTTTTTTTTTTTTGTTAGATTCGAGATTAAGATCGAAATCTTCCACATTTTATGTTTTGGTTATGAAAATAACCAAAAGACACCATGTGTATATTCCTTATAAATACTTTGTAGACACGAAGGTGAGAGGAATAAAACGTGTTGGTCATATCAAAAGAGGTAAATTGTCATTTTTTTTAGTAGATTGAAAATAAAATACTATTTGATTAAAATTTTGAGCGAAATATGAGGTGGATAGAGTTTTTTCTTGATGGGCCTTGTAGCCCAAACCCCTGCAATTGCGAAGAACAGGAAAAAAACTTTAAAAAAAAAAAGGGAAAAACACATCGACGAACCCGATGAATTGCCTAAAAAGATTCCGAAGCAATCTAACAAAGGATTTACATAAGTCGTACCCAAAACCCAGGAACCAGTAAAAGAAACAATAAATTGATTTTGATTTTACCAAAACCTAAATATAGGAATGTTTCCATAAAAAAGAAGAGTGTAAATTAAAAACAAAAAAAAGTCAAAATTCCCAAAATTCAACTGCTTTTTTCGTCTCTCAGATCAAAAACAAGTGAAATAGCTTGATAATATCATCATCATCGAATCCAAGAACGTGTTTGAGTTTAAATAGAATTCAATTTCCAAAATTTTGTACAAATAAAGAAAAAGAAACCCCAAAAATTAAATCTTTAATAAGCAAAAACAAACAATATGAAAAGATTAATCAGATCAGAAAACAAACCAAGAGGGACGACTCCAACTATTCTTGTTGTTCTTTCCTTGTTCCTTTGGAATTGTAATAATATCATTATCACATCCTCTTTTCTTGATTTTATTTTCGACCCTCTCTCAACAATTCCTTCTTTCTCTTTCTCTCTCTCTACGTATTTGCCTTTAATATTATTAGCTTCATATTTTGTGATTTCCCGAACGAAATTCCCTTTTGGGTTTCTTTGTTTTGACGATAGGTATTTGAAAGTTGAAATCTTTATGTCGGTTTTCGTCTGGGAACCCTAGTTTTTTTTTGTGCGTGTAAAAATCTAGGGTTTCGTTCATACCTCGATTTTTCGACCTCTTCAATGGAGACTGGTTCGGAAGGAGAAAGCAATCGCAACATCAATGGTCAATCTGATGGATCCAAGAAACCTAAACGCCAGATGAAGACGCCTTTCCAACTCGGAATGCTTGAAAAAACCTATGCGTGTATGTTACTCATCTTTTTCTCCATGTTTCAATTGCTTTATTCGTTTTCCGATTCAAATTCTTATAATTTCTGTGCTTATTTCGTTCTAGATTCGATAGATTTCATGTTAGTTTCTCCATGGCTATTCACCACACTTCATTGAGATGCACTTTCGTGTTGTTATAACTTCAAACTCCAAACATCATTTGTTTTTTCTGCAAATTATGTTACTAGAGCTTATTTCATATCATGGTTATTGACTTCAATCTTTTGCAGTGGAGATGTATCCATCCGAGGCCACAAGGGCAAAACTGTCCGAAACTTTAGGGCTAACCGACCGCCAGTTGCAAATGTGGTTCTGCCACCGCCGGTTGAAAGACAAGAAAGAAGGGACTGTAAAACGGGCGGGAGGTGATGGTGGTGAGTCTTTGAAACCTTCCAAACAAGAATTGGTGGTGGTTAGTGGTGGTGGAGGTGGTGGTGGGAGTGACCATGGTTCACGGTCTCGGTCACACCGTGAGTCATGGTCACGGTCTCGGTCGGCATCAGGGTCGGAATCGGAATCGGAATCGGATTCCAATCGGTTTAAGGAACCATTGGTTCATAGCAGGGCTTATGAGGTGACACAAAAGAAGATGATGTTGAGAAGAGTAATTGAATGCGTTGAGGTTCAATTAGGTGAGCCATTGAGGGAAGATGGACCAATTCTTGGAATGGAGTTTGAAGAGCTTCCACCTGGAGCATTTGGAACACCAATAGGTATTTTATAATTTATGTTTATAAAAAAATATAATGTCTATAAAAAATGCCTTTTTGTACTTGAAGAAATGATGTATTATGCTGTTGTGAATGGTGTATGCGAGTTTTCATCGTGTTCTCAAACTTCTCATTTGTTTTTTGCTAATTTTATGGAATGAATGTAGTTTTTCTTTGTATTATAGTGTATTTCATGAATCTTTTTAGTGTTTTGGTAGTGTAAGCATATAAAAAGTTGATAGAATGATAGCATATTTTGGTATTATAGTGCATATCATGAATCTTTGTAGTGTTTTGTAGGGTGAAAATAATGAAAAATCGATAAAGTGAATGCAAAGCTTTGTATTATGATTAGAACATGAGTATGTCAATTTACAATGTAGGGGTAAAACCGTAAAATCCTTTAGTTCTAAAGGGTAGAAAGTTACCCCGTTAACACCTCATTCTTGTATTTTTCTAATGTATTGTAGTTTGTATGCTTTTGTTGGATGACATATACATATTAAGTTACTTTGCTCTCATGACCTATGGTTTATCTTCTCTTTATTTTAGATTTCTTGCTTGTTAATTATCGATAACTCTACTAATTTTTATATATTTTTTTTGTTTTTGTTTTTGACAGTTGCAAAAAAGCATCATGGACAAACAAACAGACATTCTTATGATGGAAATTTATTTGACCAATCCGATCCTCGGTCAATCAAAGTAAGTCCTCTACTTTTACTACAAACATTTTATCTTCTTAATATTGGAAAATTTAACATTGTTGTGATAAAAAATGGTAATTTTTTTGTAGACTGAGGTGGGTGGTGTTCGTGAGCCTGTGGGCCCTAATATTAAACATGAACCATATGGAGGTGTTTCTCGGTTATATGATTCACCAATTGGTTACTCAAGTGACCAAAGATTAGTTGTTCAAAATGGACAAATGCCACATACTTCTTATGTTTCTCAAGGACAATTGAAGGGTGTTAGTTTGATGACACAAAAAGGGGAAATGACACATTTATCCTCACCTACAAAAGATAATGATTTCATTCAACCAAATGAAGAAGTTATGCAAATGTGGAGGAAACGCAAGGTATGTGTCAATGTAGTTTTTGGGATCTTTTCATAAATTAAAAAGTGGAGAGAATGGATAGATTTGGAAAGAAATGGAGAAAACATAAAAGTTTTCGTGTTCTTTAGTTAATGAGAGAAAAGAGGTGGACCTAAGGGAAAGTTTTGACTATCTTTCTCTTCAACTTTTTTTTAAGACAAAACTACCCTTGACTCAAGAACATGAAATATACATAATACTTGTCATGTTCTTTCTCTTTCTTTCAAAGTACATTGTCTTAATAAGAAAAAAGATTCAAAGTACGTTGCTATTTCTTGTTTTATATTGATTTATGTTTACTCTTGTAGAGTGAGGATGCTGTTGGTGGAAGGGAAGGTCAACAATCTAATGAAAAGAGGATGCGAAAAGAGCTTGAGAAGCAAGATTTGATGAGGCGAAAGGTACAAGTATCTTTGGGGGTGTTTGGATGTGAGTTTTGAAAGTGATTATGTGATACTAAATAAATAGAATCAAATAATCAACAGTAATATTGAAGGAAAAAAGAAACAAGATAAAAGGGATAAATGTTAGAAATAGCAATCCCCTTCCATATATTTGTATACTATAGCGTCTACTTTCATTTCTTTCAAAGTTCTTTTTATGATCATAGTTGTGAGAATCTCTATGAACCCTAAATAATCAAACACTAAATCTTGATTATTACATCCAAACACCCTGTTAGAATTATTAATATTGTTTTAGGGACTTGTAAATTGTAATAGAGTCTTATATTTTTACAATCTCTTGTATTAGAGAGAAGAGCAAATGAAGAAAGAAATGGAGAAACAAGATCGTGAGAGGCGAAAGGAAGAAGAGAGAATGATGCGTGAAAAACAAAGACAAGAGGAAAGATTTCAACGTGAAGAAAAACGTGAAATGGAAAGGAGAGAGAAGTTTTTACAAAAGGAATCTTTGAAAGCAGAAAGAAGAAGACAAAAAGAAGAGCTTCGAAAAGAAAGAGAAGCAATAAAACTCAAAGCTGCCATTGAAAAGGCAGCAGCACGAAAAATTGCTAAAGAATCAATGGAATTAATTGAAGATGAAAGATTGGAATTGTTGGAATTGGCTGCTTCTAGCAAAGGCTTGACTTCAATAGTTTCACTTGATTATGAAACTTCACAAAATCTTGATTCTTTTCGAGGTATATATTTTCTTACAACTTTGCTTAATGCTTATTATATAAACTATAATCACCATTGTCTTATTGATGACATTTGTTTTCGTGTACATGGTTGTGTCTATTTTGTCATTATCAAAGGGTATTTTAGGCAGATACTTGAAGAATAATTTTTACTTTTCTCCTACATAATCAAGTTTCATCCTTTTTTCAGATCTCTTATGTGTATTCCCACCAAAGTCTGTTCAAGTGAGATTAAAAAGGCCATTTTCAATACATCCATGGATTGATTCAGAAGAAAATGTTGGAAATCTTCTTATGGTATGTCCATAATTTACATTTCTTTTGTTACTTTAAAATTTGATTTTATTATGATTCTCGATAATAGCAACATTACCTTATTTTTTATAACCAAAAATTTACTCACATTATCTACCAATATGGATAATGCACTTTTATTTGTTACATATTGTTCTTATCACTAAAAAAATGTGCTGTAAATATGTTCAAAGAAATGTCAACATGTTGATTGTATTTCCTGCAATCTACCCTTTTAAAAAGAGAAATATACCCCTAAATATTAGCATTTTGTTACAGGTTTGGAGATTTTGTATGACATTTACCGATGTTCTTGGCCTTTGGCCTTTTACCCTTGATGAATTTGTTCAAGCTCTTCATGATTACGTGAGTTTCACAAAGAATAATCTTTAAATTCTCTTCCTTTTCTATTTGTGAGACCCTTTAAATAACTTTTTTTCTTTTTTGAGTTATCAGGATTCAAGATTATTAGGAGAGGTTCACATTGCTCTGTTGAAGCTGATCATAAGAGATATTGAAGATGTTGCAAGAACACCCTCAGGTGGGCCCGGAACAAATCAATACACGGTTGCCAATCCTGAAGGTGGTCATCCTCAAATTGTTGAAGGGGTAATTTTCTATAAAATCGATTTATATTTATTCATTTTTGTTACCTATGTGTATAAGAAATATTTTGGAAGAACAATGCTATAATATTGGATGCTATAATGAACATATAAATGAAAGTTATATTGCTATTTCTTGTATTTAACATTTTTTTTGTAATATGGTTGTTGACAAATGGTGTGTTTTACTAGGCATATATGTGGGGATTTGACATACGCAATTGGCTTAAACATCTAAACCCGCTGACGTGGCCTGAAGTACTTAGACAATTTGCTTTGTCAGCAGGCTTTGGGCCCCACTTGAAAAAAGATAAAGGAAAACGTTCAGGCTTGACTGAAAATGATGAGGTGCATACATGTTCTTTAATTTGATCTTTGTTTGTGGTGTAAATTTGTGGATTGTGTATGAAAAAACTAAGACTATTAAGTAGTATTTGGTACGATGGAATCCAGGAAGGAATGGAATGGTTGATTCCATTGGTATGAAAAAACGGACCATTCTTGAACTAATGTGATTCCTTCCCTCTTCTTATTATGAAATGAAATGAAAAGTTGCAATATAAACCCTGTCCATTCCATTCCATTCTTTCATCATTCCATTCCCTTCCATGATTCCATCCAACCAAACAGTCACTAACTAGTATTTGATTTTCTTGTGCAGAGTAAAGGCAATGAGGATGTAATTACAATGCTAAGAAACGGTTCAGCTGCTGAAAATGCATTTACATTAATGCAAGAAAAAGGGGTTTCTCTTCAAAGAAAGTCAAGGCATCGTTTGACTCCTGGAACAGTCAAATTCGCCGCCTATCATGTTCTTTGTCTTGAGGGACCCACAGGCCTAAACGTATTGGAACTCGCCGAAAAAATTCAGGTTTTTTTTATTACTTTTTTAATAAACTTTATATTTTACCAACTCTTCTTTTTGTTTCTTTATTCTTATGTTTTTTTTCTTCTTGAAGAAAACTGGACTTCGTGATCTTACAACAAGCAAGACACCAGATGCTTCAATCTCTGTTGCATTATCGCGGGACCCGATTTTGTTTGAAAGAATCGCGCCTTCAACGTATTGTGTAAGGCCTGCATTTAGGAAGGATCCTGCAGATGCTGAGGAAGTGATTTCATCTGCTAAAGAGAAGATACAAAGTTATGCAAATGGAATTTTGGCTGGGGTCAATGCTGAAGATGTTGAGAAAGATGAAGATTATGAATGTGATGTTGCTGAGGGGACTGAAATCGATGATTTTGGTACTTCATCTGCTATTGAAGAAGTTAAGACGGAAGAGGTTGATGTAGATATAAAACAAGAATATGAAAATACCGGTGAGTTTTGATCCTTTAAGGCTGCGATTTTAGCTTTCTAGGGCTGTTTTCGATGATCGTGACGAGAAGGGTATTTTCGTCTTTTGCACATACGAGAGATCGAGAGCGAGTCCATGTCCCGCCTTGTTCCACCTTTTTGGGTGGGATAAAAATTGTAATTTTTGTCTCATTGATATCAGTCTGAGTCCTAGTCCAATGCAAGCCAAACACATGTTTTATTGTGTCTTGTGTTGTGTTACAAATGGGTCCGTAGGGCCCATTTGTTATACAGGACAAAACACTCCCTTGTATGTGTTTGGCATGTGTTGGACTGGGACTCAGACTGATGTCAATGAGACAAAAATTACAATTTTTGTCCCCATCCAAAAAAGGTGGAACAAGGCGGGACATGGACTTGCTCTCGATCTCTCGTGTGTGTAAAAGACGTAAATACCCTCCTCATCCTGATTATCGAAAATAGCCCTAGAAAGCTTCTATTCTACCACATAGTCGTATAGGGAGTTATTCCAGTTTTATGGTTTGTTGAATTAGAAATGATTTCATAATTGTTTGGTTTTAAAGGTATTGGTGCGAGTAGTATCAATCAAGGAAGTAGTGAAGTTGATGAAAGAATATCAGGAGAAGCATGGGTTCAAGGGCTTACTGAAGGAGAATATTCGGATCTTTGTGTGGAGGATCGACTCAGTGCTCTTGTTGCTTTAATTGGTATCGCAAATGAAGGAAACATTATCCGTGTAGTTCTTGAGGTAATTATAAAAAAAAAAAATCAAAATTTAAAAGTTTTTGTTTATCTTCTGTCATCTTATATACAACCCTTGTACAGGATCGCTTAGATGCTGCAACTGCTGTGAGAAAGCAAATGTGGACAGAAGCACAACTCGATAAAAAACGCATGAAAGAAGAATTCATATCCAAATTTCAAGATTCTTCCTTAATGGAAGGTGGTCAAAGCCCATTGATGCCCACCACTGACAATAAAGTCAATGATGGGATACTACAAACGGGTCAAGATAGTTCCGTGGGTCAACCCACGGGTCAAAATCAAATTCATAATAACGGATATAACACAGCTGAAAGATCAAGGTTGCAATTGAAGGCTTTTATTGGTCATAAAGCAGAAGAAATGTATATGTATAGATCTTTACCCTTAGGTCAAGATAGAAGGCGAAACCGTTATTGGCAATTTGTTGCATCTACTTCTAGTAATGATCCAGGGTCTGGAAGGGTATTTGTGGAATTACAAAATGGTTGTTGGAGACTAATCGATTCAGAAGAGGTAAACTTTATTAATTGTTTTGAAGAAAATGTTCAAGAGTTATTTTAGGGTGTTTATTCAATCTTTCTTCTTTCTTCTTGATGCAGGCGTTTGATGCTCTTTTGACATCATTAGACACACGTGGGACCCGCGAATCCCATTTACATGTAATGCTACAAAAAATCGAGACATCATTCAAAGAAAACATCAAAAGAAACATCAATTTCCCCAAAAACACAAACCGAAATATCTTGATTTCCGATTCAACCGAACAATCACCTTCTTTCAACATTGAGCTTGGAAGGAATGAATTTGAGAAAAAGAATGCAATGAAAAGGTATCAAGATCTTGAGACATGGATGTGGAAAGAATGTTTGTATTCATCAAATTTATCTGCAATGACACATGGGAAACAAAGATGCGTTCCTTTACATGGAGTTTGTGATTTTTGCCACGCGTGTTATTGCTTCGAGAACTTGAATTGTCCTATTTGCCCCCGGTGTTGTAGGCCGTTTAGCACGTTTGGGGGTAAATTGAGTTACCCTGAAGAAATTCGGGAAAATGTTGGTGATTTTAATGATTTGTGTGATTGGGATGTTAATGATCCGTTGAGAATCCGATTGATTAAGTCTTTATTAACTTTCTTGGAGGTATGAATATAATATGATTACATAAAGAGATTATTATTTTATATTTTCTATTTGTATTATCATCGAGTCTTGTTTGACCTTTTTTTTATTTATAATTTCAGGCTTCGGTTCCTTTTGAGGCATTGCAATCTTCTTGGATGGATAACAATAGGAATGCATGGGGTTCAAAGTTGCATTGTTCTTTGTCACCTTTGGATCTTCTTCAGGTAATTTTGTTTTTTCTTGTTAAGTGTTGTCTGGATAAGGGCAAATTTGTAAAATATTAGGACTTAATAGTTAATACTTACTAACATGAGTTAAATTTGGCTGCAGATTGTTACATGGTTTGAAAGTGTGATAAAGCGGGACCACCTGTCATTAAACTTTGAGACAACAGAGGAGCTTCTTGGAACCTCCGGTGTACCGGAAAAGGCTGTTTCCGGCACCGGTTCAGTCCCGGTCCTTCCGTGGGTCCCACAAACAACAGCTGCTGTGACTCTAAGGCTTTTGGAGCTTGATGCTTCAATTTCCTACACCCCTGAACAAAAAGCTGAACTCCATTTGGTAGATGAATCAAACGATATCTTAATGGAGGTATGTATCACTTTCTGTTAAGTTCTTCTTGTAATTTAAACCCAAAAGAAACAATATTATTGTGTGAAATTCCGGATTTAACCTTGGTTCTTTAACAGAAAGCACCATTGAAGTTCACGTTCTTGAAGAACATCGGGAAAACCGTATCTGATACGGACCATGGGAAATTAATTAAACCGCCTCGTGGTGGCGTTGGTGGACGGAACCGTGGCGGAAAGTGGCGGCAACGGGCGGCAGGTGGAGGTTCGATGTCGGCATCTGGCAGTCGGCAAAACTTCAGAGACAGTGCCACAATGAGTCAAGTCATGAAGCAACAAGCACATGGAAGAGGTCGGAGAACAATCAGGCGAAAAAGAATTGAAAAAACCATTGAAGAAGAAGAAGAAGAAGAACCGATGAGAAATTTTGAAAATGAAGAGTGGGTTAATGAACCTGTTGAGAAAATGGAAACGGATGATGCTGTGAATTTTCATATCAGTGAAGATGAAGAAGATGAAGATGAAAGTGAAGATGAAGGAGATGAGGAACATCAGGTGGAGTTTGAAATGATGGGGAATGAGGAAAGTTTAGGGTATGGAGTTGCAAATAATGAAAGTAGATGGGCTGAAGTGGAAATGAGCGAAGATGAAGGGTTTAAAGGTGTTGAAGAAGAAGAAGAAGAAGAAGATGATGATGATGGGATTATGAATGATGATTATGTAGATGGGGATGATGGAAGGAATTTTAAGGTTGAGGATTCGGATTCTTTTGGTTCGGGGGATTTTAGTGATTGAAGCCCATAAAATATAATATCATTTTTGAAGGTAGCATATGATTTTTAAATTCTTTCTTCTTTTTTGTGGTTTTTTTTTTTAGTTGTTATACAGCAGCATATATATAACTAGTCCATGTTTTCTTTTGGAAAATCAGTCACGTAGGAAGCAAAATAAAAGCGTTTTGTAATTGTGGTTTTCTTTTTGTATATTTGTTTGTGTATGATGGTGTCTTGTATTAGCCTATACAAGTCAAAACCCTCAAGTCCATCAGCTTTCATCCTCCACGTGTAGCACCTGAATTTTGTGGGTAAACTAAAGTTAAAATAATTACAACTAATTAAGAATATTTACTTGAAAGGTTAATGTTTGAGTTGATGTGTGTATCTTTGATTTAACATTTCCGACTGTTGTGGACATTGATTAATGTATGGGGACAAATTAAAAGCCAAGGGATCTAGTTTGTTAGTTGGTTATGGTTTATTTTGCTAAAATAAGGAAGGGAGGGACTAGTTTTGCCAAAACGCCAAAGTTTAAAAGCCTTAAACCCTTACCATTCCGTATTCCGTCCATCATTTGGGACGATTTGAAGCTAGAGAAGAGAGGGATAAATCAGTTTTGTAGAGGAATTAGCTATTTGATCCATTAAAGCCATTGATTTTTGAACACTAGCCATTATGGATCACTCTTTGATCCATCTAAATTCGAATTTGACCATGGATTGTTGTTATCTTCCACCCCTACCATTGACTCCTTCCACCGACGACGACACAGATCATTGGCGTCTTCCTCGACTATTTCTATAGTCCGCTTCTTTCTTATGGGTGTATCTCACTCTCCCTAATTGCAAACCCAATTACAGTAGGTGCTTTATTATTCAAAAAAGTGATTAATATTTTGAAGCTGTTATTCTCAAGATGCTATGTCGATTATATGCTCTGTTCTTAACAAGGTTCTAAATAACGTAAGGCGTGACTTGACGGCAATATCAAGCTTCAAACATTTTTGAGTCGTGGTGAGCCATGTCGTTTGTAAAACGTGACTTAAAGCGACAATTTTGTATATAATTAATAGTTTAATATGTATTTTCTACTATTATTCATTTTTATATACATATATGACTTAAGGTGGCATTTTGTCAAAGTTTGACGGCAAGTACAAGCCTCAGAGTCATGACGCGGCATGGCGGAGCCGTGGTGAGTTTTTTAGAACATTGGTTCTTAATGATGTCCCAGTTAAATACAATAATTCTAAATACAAGTTTCATTCTTAAGTTTAGGATTGTTTCATCAAATCTGTACTCTAGGTGTTTGATGAAAAGCCTAAATGAAAAATGACTTGTCATTTATTATATGAATTTTAGATCTAAAAGAGTAACTAGAGATTGGACATTGAAAGAGACCGAAGGGGTATGTCAGCACCAAAGTATGCTAGGCGGTTACTGGTTGAAAGAGACCAAAGGAGTAGGCCAACACTCAGATATGCTTAGGCAATATGTTATTTATGGTATGTGATATGATGGGGAACTCACTAAGCTTTGTGCTTACGATTTTTAATTTTGGTTTCATGTACTTCCTCTTCGAAAGGAAATGGGCTAACATGATGGCAACGCATCACACTATATTTTCTGCACTAAAGATCTTTGGAATTGTTACTTTGATGTTGTTTTATTATGATATGTTTTGACTATAGATACTTTGTATTTGATATGAGTTGATACTATGGTTGTTTCAGACAAATGATTTTATAATTGTTTTATTAAAAATGAAAATTTTGGTCGTAATTTTTGGGATGTTACAAAAACATTCATATATACATCCATAAAGAACGTGTGAATATACATATCGTAAGTAAAAATATATTACTTTTTAACAGGAGTAATCTAAACGAAAGTTGTAATAGACTCAAACACGAATGCATGGATATAAAAATCATAAAAATCTGAGATCGTATGAAGAAATTACGATATTCAGAACACAAGATCTAAGCGCAACTACAAGACCTAAACAACTAAGCATTCGATGCCGTATGAAGAAATTACGATATTCAGATTTTACTTTCTTATTTTAAATTGTAATAAACGTGAATTAATTTTCGATTCTAATTTCTATGCATTGAATTGTGGCTCAAATGTATAAAAAATTCGATGTTGCTTCAAATCGACTTCTTTCTTGGATCCTTAAACCCACACACAGAATCCCCGTGATCACTCACCTGTGACCTCTTCATGAAATTCATCCCTATTTTCACACAAACGTCTGCAAATTCTTGGAAAATTTGAGCAATGTCAGTCCTTCCATTTTCTCTCGCTACAGTAAAATGTAATCAACCAAGAAGCGAAAGATGTTCGTCTTTAGCGTCACTCAAACCAATTTCACTTCGAAAAAATGCACTCAATAAAACCTTTACAAATGTCTGCAAATTGACAATTCGAGCTTCGAGTACTTCTATTTCATCTGTAACAGTCGAAAAAGATGCAACATACGGTACCGTTTTCGTAATTCGAGCTCAAGACAAAATGGGTTTGCTTCCGGCAATCACTAGGGTTTTAAAAGGGCATAGAATTGAGAAAGCTACAATGGAATTTGATGAAAAAGAAGATTATTTTGTGATAAAGTTTCAGGTCACTGATTCGAATGGGAATAAGATTGAAGATAACGAGAGTTTGATCAGAATCGAGAATGCATTGATGGACGCCATTAATGGCGGTGAAGGTGTTGTGGTGAGGAAAGCAGGGTTCTCGGGGGCTAAAACAGAGAGGATGTTTGAATTGATGGATGGGTTCTTGAAAAACGATCCAGTAAGTCTTCAAAAGGATATTCTTCATCATGTTGAGTACACAGTAGCAAGATCAAGATTCAGTTTTGATGATTTTGAAGCTTATCAGGTAAAGATTTCAACAGTTTTTGTGTATTTTTAGTTTAACGAAACTTCAGAAACTTTTTTGTAAAGTTAAGCAGCCTTTTGTCGATACTTTTCAAAAACAAATCCAATTTTCGCATCTCAAAAAGTGCATATAAACCCTTAAGATAATCTAAAACCATAGATTTTGCACAAAAAATAATGTATCAAAAGGTGATTCCGTCTCCAAAGTCCAACCCTAACAACATCTTTTGCACCGAATAAAATATCCCAAGTATATTCACTATTTCAAACTTATTTATATTTAGAAAAAATTACTCATGTTTATTAGCTTTTTACAAACTATATAATTAATTAAATATGTTATTTGCAGGCGTTGTCACATAGTGTGAGGGACCGATTAATTGAACGATGGCATGACACACAACAACATTTCAAAAAGAAGGATCCTAAACGTTTATACTTCCTCTCACTCGAGTTCCTAATGGGCAAGTATTTATTTATTTATTTTTGTACAACATTTATTTAATAACAACAAGTCTTTTATTTAAATTCAAGATTTTTGCATTACAATAACAAATTTCAAATTTCAAAATTCAGGTCGTTCGTTATCAAATAGTGTTATTAACCTTGGCATAAAGGATCAATGTGCCGAAGCCTTAAGCCAACTTGGGTTTGAGTATGAAGTTCTTGCAGAGCAGGTAATGTCACCTGTCACTGTCACTGTCACTGTCACTGTCACTGTTACTGTTACTGTCACCGTCATTGGTAACTGGTAACTGGTACAAATGCAGACTTACAATTTTTTCATGCATGTATGAATAATATTATTTTATTATTATTATTATTATTATATTATTATTATTATTATTATTGTAAAGGAAGGAGATGCAGCACTTGGCAATGGTGGTTTAGCTCGGCTTTCTGCATGCCAAATGGATTCTTTAGCAACATTGGATTTTCCTGCATGGGGGTAATATTATTTTATTCTTCATTGGTTCCTAACTGTGAAATTACCTAACTACCCCTCACATTAACTACCATATTATCTCTTTACAATTCTTCAAGCCACAATAATCATTTTGAAACACAGCATCCAAACACTCTTAAGTCTAAGAGTCCCATCATGTTACTAAAATTCAAAGTCTTTACTTTTATTTACATTCTTTGGTTATAAAAATAAAAATAAAAATTTGTATTTTAATTTTCAGATACGGATTACGTTACCAATATGGGCTTTTTAGGCAAATAATAATAGATGGCTTCCAACATGAACAACCTGATTATTGGCTCAACTTTGGAAATCCATGGGAAATAGAACGTGTCCATGTATCATATCCTGTAAAGGTTATAAAAAAAATATTTTTTATATATATCTTTTCAAATATTCCTATATTTGTTTAATAATTTATATATTGTGAGAAATCTAAACTACTTTTAATGATCACGAAGCTAGTTTTATGGGAGTGTTAAAGAGGAGGTTGTGAATGGAAAGAAATGTAAAGTTTGGATTCCAGGAGAAACAGTGAGTTATTTCTTTTGTAATAAAGAAGTTTAATATGCTAAGTATATTTGCTATATGACGATTTTGCCCTTGGGTGTAGGTTGAAGCTGTTGCTTATGATAATCCTATACCTGGTTATGGAACAAGAAACACAATAAATCTCAGATTATGGGCTGCTAAACCGAGTGAAGGACTTGATATAGTGAGTGTGATTATTTTGCTATTTGTTTTTTTAGAATATTTGTATAAATAAAATGTTGGTTTTATAATTTTATTGCAGGAGTCTTATAATACTGGAGATTATATCAATGCTATTGTGAATAGACAAAAGGCAGAAATAATAAGCAATGTTTTATATCCTGATGATCGTTCTTATCAGGTTTGAATTTAATCATATCAACCTACTTTTATATACATTTTTCATTTTTTTATTTTGTTTTGATTCGGTAATTCGTATTTCTTTTTTCCTATAAAGGCTATTTGGATAAATGATGTTTCATTTAAGTTTCTGAACATATTCTGATTCAATATAATTCTGTTTGTATTATTATTAGAAGAAAAATAACCCGTGACTTACAACACTTCTTACATTAACTGCATTTTGTTATTTACCATCATTTCTATACACAAGGGTAAAATGGTCATTTTTACTCAT